TCATAAAAAAGTTAAGACAACTTGGCTTTCAAAATCAATGCATGGTATTTACGAGCAGTAAGCAAAGAGCGGATGATATTATGTCAAAGGAACTAACAGCTCAAGAATTACGAAATACAATCGTGACAACATTTACAAATGATTTAACACGATTCGTCAATTTTCAGTAAACATTGTCAACTTACAATTTTTTATTTTCTAAGCTGAGAAATCAACATCAACATAATTATAAAAGTGAAAGATATGCGGACCTAGAGAGCACTATCAAGATTACATTACCATTTTTTTCTTCAGTATCTTTGAAATATCTGTAGAGAACTTTTTATTTTTAAATATACTCTGCACAAGTTGCAACTTCAGAACCATCACTATTGGCGAGTACAGCTTTACAAGTAACTTAACTCTTACTGATTTAATCGTTCTATCATTCTAATTATTGACAGAGCGCATTCTGGTAAATCTAAAAGCAAATCGTATAGCTATTTTAACAACAATGGATATTAATTAGAACCTTTCTAAAAATATAATGTCGAGATAGATAATTTTGATATCTGAAGATTCGCAACTAATATTCCCTATTTTGTTATGATTGTTAACTTTATTTGTCAAAGGAAAGTAACGCAAAGTACTTTTATGTGGGAATTCCATAGAATTCCTCTCGTATATCTTTTTTTAATCTCATATATTGTTCGCTTCAATGTTTGAATTGAAATGGAAAAATATTTCCATAACATATATTTGTTAAAAATAGTACTAACTAGTGTGCCAAAATGAAAAGACAAAACGATCACAATTGATGTTAGCTATATATATTAAATAGAGTATTGCTCAACAGAGTCAACTGAAGCTGACCAAGATAATAAATCTTCAATGGTCACATTTGAGCGACAAAGTTGTTCAAATATAGGATTTTGATAATAATTTTCTTCGAAATTAGAGAATTGATCGTTTGTTGGACGAATGCAATATTTAATAACTTGTTTGATTGAAACATCAAGCTGCATGTCAATAACTTCACTCGGAACATAATAATGTAAACAATCGAAATCCGTATCAACTATTCGATCGGTAACATTCAGATTAAACTGTGCATAGACTACCAGTCTTAGTGTAACGAGAAACAGACAAAATCGCATCGTTTGAATCAAATAGAAAGATCACATTAGATTGTATATATTTCTCATTTAACCAGGGAATATTTTTCTAGAAATTTTTTGTTAGGAAAAACGTGTTGATTTGATCGTAACATTAAACCTTCGGCATGATTTGGTCTATTTGCTATAGATTAAAACATGATTTTTTTATTTGAATTCAACAAAAATCGGCAAATAAAGTTTCTATCGCACGATGACAACAAAAACACGTGTTGACGAAGATCTTATCTTCCACATATAATATTTCAACTTGTTGTGCAATAACATTTCTACATGTGCATATTTAAGACGAAGTTTATGACTACAACAATTTGAGTGATACAATGTCGCGAGGAAAACATTCACGAAGTAGTAGTAGTTCGAATGCTATCCAAAAGAAAAAAAGAAAAGTAACAACCGATGGGTGAGTTAATGGTAGACAATAGTTTCGAGAAACTATGCTCTCATTCTGTTTTAGTTTATCAGCTGAGATGGTCACTTGTTTTGAAGATCTTTCCAACGAGTTAATCTACGAAGTATTGGAATTCGTGGATTTCTATGATGTTTACCGAGCATTTTACTCATTGAATATGCGATTTCGTCAAATTATTACGAATTCGACTCTACCTATCCATGTCAATCTTTCATCGCGATCAAAATCAACTTTTGAATCTTATAACAAAGATTGTATTTTACCAAATAAACATCGAATTCAATCACTTCATCTGTCCAATCCATGTCTATATGATCACACGGCTTCACCAACGCATATTTTATCGCAATTTCTTCATCTTCAAACACTAATCCTCAACAATATCGAAGTCAAACATCTCGCTATACTCATGCCTACATTAACATCGTTATTTTATCTTTCATCCTTATCCATCGATCCGATCGATAACGAACCAATCATGAATGCCATTTATCCACACGTATTTCGCCTATCGGCATTGAAATACTTACGATTATCAAATAAAAACTTGTCGTGCCATGACTCTTTACCAGTTTCAAGTAACGAACAGAGTCCTATTGAATACTTGGTCATCAATGAAACTATTTCATTCGACTTACTAATATTTCTCTTATCTCATCTTCCTCAACTTCGTCGTTTGTCTGCTCATATCCGTGTACTATACACTCTGTTACCAAATCAAATCAAAGCACCCTCGTTGAAATCAAATTATTTGACACATGTTTCGCTCGGACTGAAATCAATTACATTCGATCAATTTGAGCAGCTGATGATCAATGTTTTTCCTCTAGTAGAAATCCTATACATCTCGATTCCTCCAAATACAGATTCGGTGTTCACAGATGCAACGAGATGGCAACAATTGATTTCCTCTCATCTTCCACAGTTACGTATCTTTGATTTTCTGCATGACAATTGGCCAAATAATGGTGCTTCTAATAGCAACAGCCATCAGTTCTCATCGTTATTTTGGAGCAAACGACAGTGGTTCTTCGTCGAACAGCATTATAAAGAAAAATATTTGTTTCGAACAATCTTCTATTCAACCAATCCATACAGACGAAGAGAGTATACACTGGGTGATGAAAAACATGATATAACCGATTCAAATGTGCAAATAAGACCGGTTCAACACCTTCACATCGTTGATGAGAAGAATATAAAGGATCATCAATATTTTCCAAATGTAACTACACTTACCCTTGGCAATGGCTTTACCACCACTGTTGCTTCTGTTGCAGCTACCCTTAGTCGTGTAGTTCCTTTGAAGAATCTAACTCACTTGCATTTAGAATGTACTCATTTTTCACTGGCAAAAGTAATGGAACTGTTTCGTTTTACTCCTCACGTTCATACGCTGACACTCAGTTCGTTGTCGTCCTATGGATTGGATAGTGAATCAATGCAACAGAATAGAGCGTTTCAATTTATACATTGTACGAATATCGTTGCAAATCTTACCTTGAAAGGTGTGTGCTCAATGGACCAACTTCAAATACTCCTTACTTTATTTCCACGAATGAAACAGCTGCATATTTGTATTTACGCGAAATGTCTACACTCATTTATACGACATATATTGCAGAAAGTCAAAGAAAAGGCAAATCGTCATTTGTGCTTGTTATCTTTTAGATCAGCAGCAAAAGTATGGATGGAACGAACAAAAAGTTTGATCGATTCGAAGAGATTACTCAATGATTATGTGTTGAAATTTGTTGTTAAGGATTTATATTTATGGTGGTAAATCTTTGGAGTCAGTATTGATGTGAAAGACAGATTCCGAAATGGCATAAGATTTATAGCCTTTAATTTATGAAAATAAATAGTGCAAACAGAGAAATATTCTTTTGCTGCAAATGATAAGTAAATAAAGGCGGAAATTTTACTGTTATAGTGTATAAAAATGTTTACTCCTATTAACAAGGAGATCTGGAATCAATACCATGTTACACTTACACCAGTTAGAAAGAGAAAAATAACTGGTGGTATGACGGATAGGTTGTTCTTGATACACGAGAAAAGCCTTGCTCCTAATTGTAGAGATGACAATACTGCGCCAGTTCTTCGATAAGATGGTAAGAGGAGTAAGACTGCAATAAAAATATTAACAACCCCGATAATCTTCTTCAATTTTGATGGTGAAACATGTAAAAAAAAATATATCGATGCAATCCCAATTGATTTCGCTTCCTGCTCAGCGTACACATGATTCGAAGCCGAAATTGGTATTATCTTTTTTTGTGGTAAGTCGTCAGCTTATGTGAGAGGGAGGCTGTGGGGAAGGGCAAGGTTTTGTTCATTTTACTTGTCCTCACCCTCAAAATCTGCCTAGATGATGAGAGTATACATTTACTATTTCAATCAAAGGTGCACATGGTACAACAGTAAGAAAGAATATCAGAGGATGAATGATACAGAAAGAATGAGTGTATACAATAGAATAAATGACAACGGGCACACCTTATACTCACCCACGGATATATACCTCCTCACTCTGTAAAAAAAAAAGGTGTCCTACTGAACCTTAAAAAGTTTTCGATTTCGGTACCATTTTCAGAACCTTTCAAGGTTCGAGCATAATACGGCTTTCTATCACACTTTTCAATCTGTAGAAGTAAAAAAGGGTTCCAGTCAACAAAAAACCATTTTGATATAAAAAATCACGTCATACTGATAGGGTTCCTGCTGAGAACCTAGCCAGCTCCAAATATCTCTATCCCCGTTTATGCTGAAATTACGAACTATAGTTACGACAGTTGTGCACAACTGTCGTCCTTTTAACCTACTTTATCTCCTTCCTTCCTTCAAATGCATTCAAAATTGATAAAAGCAAGCGCAACACCATAAAACGGAAACCACTTTTGAGACCTATAATCTAAATACACGATGAAGACAGTTAACTAGTCAAATTCTCACCTGAGAATGATAGTGACGCGTATTATATACAGGAAAAACATGAAAAGGTTAAGCTGTAAAAAGATCTTATGTATCAATGTCGTAATGCTTTGCATAGAAGATTCAAATCAACATATTCGGAGTGTTGAAATCCCTGTGTAACACATTTAGGTGTGAGTTGATATGGGAAACACGGTGTTATAAAAGAGTGTGATCCGTAACTTGTGATATGCGTGCTTGATGATTTGTTGATTGTGGATGGCATATGTGCGATCTGTAAGAGCTTTTACGTTTACTGAAATTTTTTGTTCTGATGTGTAGGAAATTAACAATTCAAGAGATATGGTAGTTTGTAGTAAAAAATGTATACGTGAATGATAATTTATGTAAAGGTTGTAGAAGAGTTTACTCGAGTTACTTGTATTTTCACATAAGAAATTAAAGTTTGAACGGAATGACAAGAATTCAATCCAATTACGTGGTATTTGATGAAAATCAATAAGAACACAGAGAAGAATAGAAAAAGAAAGCTTAGAAGGGTAGTGTCCCTGAATTAGTTTCGAAAAGAAGAACCATTTTGTTGGCTTCTTTTTGCTGCTAGACGTGACGACTGCTTTTGTGGTTGCGGCGATATTGGTAGCTCTCTTTTCTATGTTGTGGTTGGCGCAGCTGATGTTTTTACATTGGTTGTATCTTACAACACTACATTTTGAGAACGCGAAGAACTACGACGTTTAGATTTTGAAGTTGACTTTTGTTGGATCTTTGAGTATATGAGCGTTGGTGACGTTTTGATACTAACACCCATTTGTTCAGATTCGTCCTTTTCTGTTGGAAAATTATTCGAACCTTGTTGTTTTGCATCCTCGTCTATTATCAACGGGATCACTTGTGGTGACTCTTGGGATTCCTTTCCATCTATATTCAACAGCGAAGACGAAGAGACAGTTTGTATTGTCGGAGATGCTGCTACCGTTGTGGTCAAAGGTGTTGCGGCTGTTGTTGTCGAAGGTGTTGCTGCTGTTGTTTGTGTTGCTGGTGCTACCATTGTTGCAGCCGACATTGCAGAGTGAAGTTGTGTTGGCGATCCTATTGGCATATCGACGTGTTCGATGGAACGTATTGTTTGAATTTGAGGACTTTTGGTGCGATCTTCAAGTTTAAAATGCCATGAATTCAGAAGAATTCTCAAATTTTTGCCAAGTTCATCGCCGTTTTGGAAAAAAATTCCGTATAATAAGTGGGAAGTGTGATTGTTTTTAGTAAACTTGACTTCAAATATATTGTATAATGACAGTAACAATGAGAGTGCTGTTGTAGGATTCGTTGTTCTTATAACAACTCTCCAATCAAGATATAATTCAAAATTTTCATTGGAAACTTGAATACAAGGCGTTGGAACAATTGGCTCCTGGGCGAAACATACAATCAAATAGAGATAATGACATCTGTCAAATAAAATGAATGGCTTGATGTAAAAACTTGAACTTACATTATCAAATAAAATATGGCTGATTGATTGATTAAAGTGTTTACAAAGTATTTTAATTACACGAATTGGCAACACGTCTAGAGAGAATAAAAAGCATGAAATGTGAATATGAAGCATACTCTACAAAAGATGAAAGTAGTTTGAAGCATGATGAAGTGTGAGTTTTCGTCGAGTTGTCCTTGCGTCAAAGGAGAAAAGAGAAAGCTTTCTATTAAACAGTGAAAATATCCATTTTGTTCACCGTGCTGTTTATTGCTGTGCTCTTATTTACAGACGAACAAAATCAGTTGAATTCACAAGAAAAGTTAGAGATAGCAAATTGATGATCAAGAATATCCATCAATTATCAATATTTAATCTGCAGTTCTTTTGTCAAATTTCTGTATTTTTTATATTTCACTCACCCATAACACAGGATGAATTGTTTGGCAATTTTTCAAATAAATGTGGTAACATTTCGTTTACATTTTGTTCTATATCAATATTCTCAATCATCTTCACTTCTTCGAACATCTAAAGAGAAAAATTCACCGATTCAAAAATTGAAATAGATAACGAATTGAGGAAAACAAGTCGTTAAAAATTTACCAAGTATGCGTATGAATAACCGAGAAATTTCTCTAATATTTCACTGATTGTGTGTGAACGAATGAACAGTCGACGATATCCGAATGTTTTCTTCCACAAAGTGATCAATACATCGTTATCTATGGTTTCATTTTCGATACCATCTCTCATTGTCCTCACCAATTGCTCAACATCGGTTTCATCAATAATGGGGCTGACACAAATCTAAAAGAATAGATTTCGATATTTCATATGCAAGCTTTAAAATCAAAAGATTCGTACCATTTTATTAGGTTTTCGTTCAGCAGACAACGCTTCACTTTTTTTGGCTAAACGTCCAGATCCTTTCCCAAATTTATCTCGTTTCCTTTGAACCATTAAGGATGTATTTTGTAAGAGACGACGCTCATTTTTGAACTTTTGTTTGATCGCTTCTTTCCATTCATTCTGTAAATAATCTATTCAAGAAATGAATCCATAAGAAAAGACGTTTACTTACAGTCGCATTTAGTTCTGCTATTGAAATCTTTAACGCCTTAAGCAAAGCTTGTGTCATCAAAAAATAATCATTCGCATTAGGATACCTATAATTAAAATGAACAACGTTTCAATTTTACCATTACGCAATTCATTTGTATTGTTACACACAATAAGTTATAAGTACTGACGATAGTTTTGAAAACAAAATTGAGCAATATTCGCCGATGATTTGTATGACCACGAAGTTTTGTTAAATCATTTTCACCGATGACCATCTGAATTTCTTCTGGTAACGATACGAATGCAAAGTCGCTAGGTAGATGTTCTATAGGATCTTCCGAATCATCATTGTCACCGTCTCCAGTTGGATTGTAAACATTCCCTGATGCTTGAAATGTGTCACAATTGGTATCATTAGTTGACAACAACGAGCTATCGGGCACGTCTTCTGTTGAGTATGTTGTTTGAGGTACTGGATCTGGATCAAATATCTGTCTTGCAGCTTCGTTCGAAATGTTTTCCTCATTTGATTGCTCAATCGGAATATTACTGCATTCCTTCATCAACAAATCAAGTCTTTCAGTGAATAATACTCGATCTTTCAATTTTGGAAATAGTGTGCGTAATTCATCAAATGGCAATTTTGCTAAAAGAGCTCCATCGATTTCCTCTTCTAAATGAAAAAGATAGAAAGGTATCAGCGAAATAATATGAAAACACATATCAATACGGCAGAAAAGAATTCAGTTCGTTGAAGATAAAAGAAACAGGGATATGCATGTGAGGAACATAGAAGGAGGTTTGTATATAACGAAATTAAATAGTCAAACGAGACAAAATGTTAACGTAAGCAGAACCACGAACATAGTAAATATCAAGTCCATGAGGTAAAATACGTAAAAGTTCATCGAGTCCTAAAATGTCCAATGTTTTACAAAATGCGATTTCATATGACCAAAGTTTTTCGTCGAATACTAATACTCGTAAATGTTCCACAACTGCCTTCCAAGTGTTTTGTATTTTAATGAAATGTAAGACATAAACAAAACACGGTTCCTCTTCCACAAATCGTAATTTCTCAACAAATACTGAATGTTTCATCATCGTAATGTTTTTGTAAGAAATAATTCTATATTCATCAACTGTTTTCTGACTAATACTATGTTCCCTTAATACACGCTGAACAGGAATAGATAGTGATGAATAATCAACAGTTTTCAATGATGTTGTTTCAGTACATATATTGTAATAGTTTTTGTTGGATAACATTAGACATTGGCGAAGTTGATGTCATTTGGCGAGAGTAAAAGCTGGATTTTTAAAGTTATTCGATCTGATAGCCAATTTCTTAAAGTAAAGGTGCTTTCCTTCGAATCGTATGCACCAAAAACGGGTCGCTGGTCCGTTTGCACCTATTGTTTTCGGATATTCCGTGACGAAATGAACCTTAGGAATCATCATATCCGGTAAATGGTAAACCATCAACGATTGAAAACGTATAGTTAACGAATGAAAATAGGAAAGCCAAGATTTTCTGAATCTTATCGAGTAAACATAGCTAATTATTTCGCGTAAACATGTATAAATATCCAATGTGTTTGTTAATTGATCAAGGATATCAGAAAATATAATTGGTATCAAACGAAATAAACACATCTTTTGACTTGCCGAACCAACTAGATGACTATTTGTAAGATGTGTTGAACGAATTGTAGGCGGTCTATTAATTTGATCGTTCATTCCGTAACTGAACGTATTTATCCTTTGCTCTATTTGACTATATGTCATAAGACGTTTCGCTGGAGCTTCTTTGAGCATAGCTGATACTATGAGCGGGCAAACACCTAAACGAGATATTGATACGATATAGTTTATAATGATAGTGGAAGAATACAATAGTTTTACTTATACCTTCAGCGAAGTCATGCATAACGTCGTTCGGTAGCGATTTAATACGATGGAAACCAATTAAATTTGACAGAGGACTTTCGCCCATAACACCTGCAGTGGTTTTTGTATTCGATGAACTTACAGCTTGTTGAACATGCACATTGTGCGTAGCTACTCTACGCGGTAAAAATGAAATGTTCGTCAGATGAGTTAATCTGAGCTGATATGAAATGTGACACAATCGACAAAATTGGCCAGAGTTAAAATTTTGCTGAAAACCACCAATTTCATGTGATGCTAGATTGTCGGCTGCAAATAAACTAAATGCAAAATGTAATTGTCCATTGAAAGTTTGTACAATCAAACCAGTTGTTTGTAAACGATTCAAATCGTTGACAATAGGTGCAAAGTATTTGGAACGGTTTCTTTGTAAAGATAAATGTTTTGTGGGACATATTCCTACAAGACCAATTGATTGTAACATGGACCTAACGACATCAAGTAAATCTTCCAAAACGAAATAATACAATGTTAATTTGTGTTTATCTTTTTTAGGGCCAAGTGGATTCGTTATTCCAATACCGTCCGAATAAAGTTGAATCAAAAACGAATTAGGATCGTGATTTAATGAAGGATTATCTTTCGCTGCAGTACCGTCACGATATGTCAAAATCAAGTCAGGATCATTTTTAGTCTTTTCCGTACTCTCGTTTATGTTATCAATTAGACAACTGATAACGTCCGGTTTATTCAATAAGCTTTTGATACTTCGTTCGATTGGGACATAATAACCGCAATGGTCTTTGTCGTCCAGTTCAACTTTCGATGGTGGTACATATCCAAAAAAATCTTCGCATCGTTTTAAAAACTGGTAATCATTTTTAGTAATGTCAAATATTGATGTTTTAATTTGCGCTATCAATCTGACAATATCTGTTAATGAGATCGAGAGATTATTAAGTGATTTCGTTGCTTGTTGTTCAATGAGTTTGAGCAGTGCATCTAACATTGATGTCAAGTACGATGTGATCGATTTGATGATACCTTGTGGTAGTAAATGACCTTCCCGCAGATCGAACAGAAAACGAGTAAAGTGTTTTTCGAATGAACTAAATGTAAATTCTTTGGGATTATCTTGTTCATCATTGGTATTGACAAATGACGACCAATCTATATAACTTTCACTTGTAATGGTTTCCAACAATGCATCTATTTCATCTTCATTCGACTCTTCTTGTGCTGCAAGTTCGTCTTCTTTGCCATGATTAGTATCGGTATTTGAAAATGAGAATGATGGCAACGAATCGTTTTCATTGAGTGTGTAATCCATTGACACATCGAAGTTATTCAACAAATCATGATGATATCGATTTAGATGACTACGGTAACTCTCAAAACTGGTATAGACTGAGCCGCAATCATGACTCAAGCGACAACGAATGTTGATAGGTTTATCATTTCGATGATTTGAACGAATATGCTTATAAAGATTCACGAATGCGACGAAGGGCAAATAGTGTCGGCAAATGGGGCAAAAATAAAGAGTAGGCATTTTTAGTTACCTTTAAATTGTTTGATTACATCCGAATTTGACATAAATGACGATAACCACTTCAATACATCTTCACATTTCATATCACATAAATTCATTGCTCCTTTTTGTAACTATTTATCAATCAATGAACTAAATAAGACCAGATTTTTATTTACTTGAAGCAGAGAAAAATAGGTAAAGTCAGTACAAAGAGGAAATAGATGTAAAACTTGCTGTTTGATAAGTTGACGATCAGAGGTAGGACGCAAGTACATGTACTTGTACTTTTCGTACTTTTCAAGTACAACGTAGAAATACTTGTACTTAGCTCAGAGTACTTGTACTTCTACTTGTACTTGCCAGAAAATACTTGTACTTGTACTTGTCCTTGCTCTGACCCCCATGGTCGATTTCCAGCGAAATTAAGTTNAATTTCGAAAAACTAACATCAGATTCCAAGGCTCCGCATCGAAATACATCTGGAAATGTCTTTTCCGAAAAATCGATTTTCAATGTTTTTTTGACCCTGCGGACATACAAGCAAACAAGCAAACAAGCAAGCAAGCAAGCAAACAATTTATGTTTCTAAGACTCTTCTCTGCGAGAAAGAGAACAACCAAAAGTGTGGAACAAAGAAGTCATGCATCCACGATATTTGTTTGATTCCAACATAACCAAGGTCTGCTCAAACCAATTCTACAGCTGGTGGAAACGTTACTACGCCTTTCCAAGTTCACCACTCGAACAAATCAAAGTCATTCTAGTCACAACTACCAATCCTACATTAGACCAGTTCTTTATTCATAAAAAGCCTCCACGTACTATCTTGAAAACAATAGACAACGTCGACCCACTAACATTTATCAAAGACTTGTTCGAACAGCGATCAACGAACGACCGAACATGAAGCCGAAGCATTCAGTGTTTCTACTTTCCATGTACTACGACATTGCACTGCAATTTTCTTGTACACCAGAATACTAAATTTTAACCAATAAAAAAACCTTTTCCCGCCAAATCACCAGCCGTTTTTTTCTCCTGATCAAACGAATACTTCGCAAACTACACATACTTTCATCTTCTATTTCTCTCCTAGATTTACAATCGATCTTCGACGCGTTCACTCCAATACAGCCAGTCGATCCACATGTAATCAACCTCGAAAATCACACAAGTTACATACTCTACAACAGATATCCCGAACAAATTAAATTAACGCCCCAATCTGACACAACATCTATACTGATCCAAAGATGTCCCCAACAAACGATCATACCAAACAATCATCCATTCAGCGATTTCTTTCTCAGTCAAAAAGTTCAATATATAAGAAAAACCACACTATTCCATATCGTATCACTATCAACCACTTGAAAAGTACGCTATACCAGCCGACTTTCTACTGCCTTATCTTGAGAGTTTTCTTCGATTATCTATATAGCTCTTGGATTCAGAACATGCCTGATGAAGATTCCTTAAGCAAGGATCGAAACGCGTCGTATGATGCTTTGAATCTAATCGGCGAATATCTCACCCTCACCCACACCCTTAAAATCTGCACAAGACAGAGACTTAAAACAATTCCTTAGTATTATTGTAATGAATTTCAAATCAGAAGAGAAGGCATGTCACGTTATATGTAGGTTACTATTTTATCCGTTCGAATGTCTTCTCTTACAACTAACTAACTATGAATAAAAGTAATATTTCAAAGGTATATTCAAACAGAGCACCAAATTTCCGTTGTAACTGTTAGGTTTGATATCGTTTCAATTGTGTCTAAACACTAAAGAAATTACGGAAATAATTCAGGCAAACCCTTGAAACTAGATACTTGTACAAACATCATTTTCAGTGCCTATCAAAGATTCGTCTGTAATAATTCGATTACAGTTTACAAAAATATTCTGAACATACGTCTAGAAAGCGCATCAAATTCTGATTCTAACTGACTAGTCTTTATGCTCACAGGCTATTTCTCTGGCATCGAGAAATGAGCAAACATTTTGTGCCAAGACTTTTGCAACAGGGATTACAGGGTATATCACAAGTAACGCGGTGCAGTAGCTGCCGGCCCTCTACTGGAAGAATATCGCCTGGTTCCTTATGTTTTTTCAAAAGAC